ACTGGGACCTGTCGGGGTGGGATTAGGGGAGGGATAGCATTAGGAGAAATACTTAATGTAGATGATAGGTTGATGGGTGCAGCAAACCACCATAGCAGGTGTATACCTATGTAATAAAACTGCATGTTCTGCACATGTATCCCAGAACTTAAAGTATAATAATAATAAATGTATGTTTCTATTAATGACAGAATCTTATATACTGCTAATACTGCTGTGGTTGGTTTACTACATTCATAATTTAAGGAAGTATAAATTTCAGCTGAACGTTACTGAAAATTCAGGAGCTTTTCTTTTCTATTCAAGTGTATGGTCATCTGCTTTAGAAAATATTGGTTTTTGGGTTTTTTTTAGAGTTTGTAGATGGCTCAAGCTACTGCTACATACTCTGCTATTTTGGTTTTGTCCTTGTTATACCACTCTGACTTTTATTCTATCTAATTGGTCCTAGTTTATTTTAACTATAAAAATTGAGTTGGCCAGGTGTGGGGGCTCACGCCTGTAATCCCAGCACTTTGGGAGACTGAGGAAGGCGGATCACAAGGTCAGGAGTTCGAGACCAGCCTGATCAACATGGTGAAACCCCATTGCTACTAAAAATACAAAAATTAGCCGGGCATGGTGGTGCACACCTGTAATCCCAGCTACTCAGGAGGCTGAGGCAGGAGAATCACTTGAACCCAGGAGACGGAGGCTGCGGTGAGCTGAGATCACTCTGCTCACTGTGCAGTGCCACTGCACTCCAGCCTGGGTGACAGAGCGAGACTCCATCTCGGGAAAAAAAAAAAATTCTTGAGTCAAGAGCTCTATTTCTTAACATTTTAACATAGCCACCCAGAAATTTAGTTAGGAGCTTGCATCTGAAGGTGATGGAGTGTTATCTTAGATTGCAAAGGGAAGGAGTAAAGTTCCAGAAACAGATGCAAACTGTGAGAAGCGCAGTTTTGTTCTTCTGTCCTGAGGATTATAGTATGTTCAGTTAGGAAGCATTTGTAGGGATTATTTACTAAAGGAATGTGAACAATGATATGGAAGATCCTGTTTTTAAAAAGTGTATACATTTGTTTAGAACTTTATAGTTCATGAAGCTATTCAAATACAGTGTCTGGCTTGATGATTACAACCCCATGAAGTATTAATAGATGTGACAGGATTATTATTCCCATCTATTGGGTGAGGAAACTGAGGTTTGGCTGCGTATTTGAAGATGAATAGCTACAACCTTACATCTTCAAGGTTGTAATTTATTGCTCTTTCAAATTACATACCCAATCATTTTATTAGATGTATGACTTTTCTTAGGACTAAACATGAATTTAGAAAAAACAGCTTTTATGTTTTAGATAGAATCCTTAAGTTTATTTTATATTTCCTAAAATGTTATTAAAACCTCATTTTATTAAGGGTTGTAGTAGGGGATTGTTAGTGCTACTTTCATGACCTTGAACTGTGCACCAGTTAAGTAATTTTACTCTAGTTGATTTGCCATGAGGATACTTTGGACTTTGATAAAAGGGCCAATTGTTTGGTCACTTTCTTTTCATTTGTAAAACAGCTGTGTTGGATAATCACTCAGTAGTACATACATAAATGCAGTGTTTATGGCTATTAGTGATGGGGAAAAAATCACGAGGAAATTTGATTATCTTAGAACAGAAGGTAGAGTATATATGAGTACAAATTTGGAATACATTTTTTAAAGGAGGCAAATAGTAGATTCTCAATAAATATTGGTTAATGAATACCATTTCTAAAATTAATGAATGAGTTAATTGATGTTTATGAGTTATGCTATTAGGAAGTAAAGATACAAGCATGAAAATATGGTGATTCCAGGATGACACAGTGTATGTAAATAGATTACACTACACTAGGTTACCCCATAATGAGACACATGTGTAATTGGTTTCAGTAAAATTCATACTGGTTCAAAATAAACTCTTAATATAGGAGTTTTTCAGTAATTCACTAAAATCAAGTGAAACGACTATCTTTGATGCTTTTGGAGCTTTTAGTACTATTTTTCAGAATTTTTATTATGATAATTTGCCATATTTACTTCTCTGTATTTTCTCAGTAAGTGCCATTTGAGCGGTATGGACGGTAATTCTGTATGGTTTCAGAGGAATGAGCTGCCATTTACTAGAATATTTGTGGAAGAATTGAGATATCTGCACCTTAAAATACGGCACAATCTAGCCAATCAGAAACGTGTGGGGAGACATTTTAGACAAATGGAATACATTAAGAAGGTGTGGAGGAAATGTTTAAAAGTAATTTTGATTAGAACAGAAGGTTTGTGTTGTGGAAAAAAATGGCTAAAGAGGCAATTTGGGGCCAGGTGATAGAGACTCTTGAATACCTGGAAGGATTTTGGATTTTGTTCCGAAGGCCTATACTCTTCTAATTGGCATATGCATTCTTGTGAGGGCAGAACTATACGGGACGTGCAAGTCCTCAGGATAAACATGACACATCTTCTAGGAGCATCACTTTTTAGAATACTTGGGGGAAAATAAATATTTTTATATGAAGATTTTTTTTGAGACAGAGTCTCACTGTGTTACCAAGGCTAGAATGCAGTGTTATGATCATGGTTCACTACAGGCTCGACTTCCCGGGCTCCAGCGATTCTCCTGCCTCAGCCTCCCAAGTAGTTGGGATTACAGGCACCTGCCACCGCACCCAGCTCATTTTTGTATTTTTTGTAGAGGTGGAGTTTTTCCATGTTGCACAGGCTGATCTTGGGACTCCTGGGTTCAAGCAGTATTCCTGCCCCAGCCTCCCAAAGTACTAGGATTACAGGTGAGCCACTGCAGACATGAAGATAGATTTATAAAGTATAAAACACAATTCACATGCAATTTTAAAGTAAAATTCTAAGATTTAAGCTAAGATCCAATAAGATTCTGAAAGAAATTTGTGCATATAGTAAGTTATTTTATCCTGTAACTCTAGAACCTAAAAGGATTTGTTTTCATTATCCTCTGCTCTTACACTTCTTCAGTAGATGAGCTTGAAAGACACAGGTCCAAGCAGTATGCAGCCATTACAAATTTCTTTTCAGAAGATTGACAGGGAGAGGGACATAAAATTAGGAGGAAAGAGGAGACTAATATAATCTAGCACTCAAGTTAAAGACAGACTTTGGGGAAGAAAGCTTATAAGATTAAGAGATGTTTCAAGAGAAGATTGCATTGAACTTGGTGGCTTATACAAAAGAAGTAGTTTACGAAGTTAAGTGAAAAGCTAGAGATGTCTTCCAGGTTTCAGGCTTCTGTGACTGGGAACATGCTGGTCATATTAATGGATATAAAGAAGTGAGAAAGATGGTGTGACAGAGTCGAAAGGAGGGAAAGGTGGGTAGAAAGAGATAGCAGTAACAGTCAGGGGCTGGTGAATTATTTATTTTTTTGAGTCAGTCTTGTTCTGTCACCCAGGATGGAGTGCAGTGGTGTGATCTCAGCTCACTGCAACCTCCGCCTCCTGGGTTCAAGCAATTCTCCTGTCTCAGCCTCTTGAGTAACTGGGACTATAGGCACATGCCACCACACCTGGCTAATTTTTGTATTTTAAGTAGAGACGGGGTTTCACCCTGTTGGTCAGGCTGGTCTGAAACTCCTGACCTCAGGTGATCCACCCACCTCGGCCTCCCAAAGTGCTGGGATTACAGTCATGAGCCACCGTGCCCGGCCTGTTATTTTTGATATGTTGAATTTGAGTGAAGTATAGGTTATTAAAGGGAGAAATGGCAGATAGGCAATGTAAGAAGGGGAACTGGAAAGAGACTTAGGATGAATACGTAGATTTTGGAACTTTATTCATGGTACATAGATGAGTCCGTGAGAGCAGATAGAATGTCTGAGAGTCAGTGTAGAAAAGATGATTATAGGTTGTCTATTGGCCCACAGTACTAAATATGAGAAAGGAATAGGGTTATAAAGATGGATTCAAGTAAGGGAAAATCCATGGAGAGTATAGTATTGTGAAAGCAAAATGAAGGTCAAGTTTGAAAAAAAGATATTCACATTAGTAAGTAGTAGAGAGATGAAAGGGAAGGTAGACTCAGAGATCAAAGGGGATTAGACTTTGCTTAGATTAGACAACTGTGAGTTAGTGGTGGAATTTGAGCACTTTAAGCAAAGTAGTGAGGACAGGAGACAGTCGTGTGAACCATAAAGAAAAGAGCTCCTTTCTCCTCTTCTGCCAGACGTATCTTTCTGGTAAAAGAAAGCTTTGTATGGGGAAAAAATCTAATTTACTACTCCTAAAAGGAACAAAATGAAACATGTCCTATGAGAGTGTTTTTTTTTTTTAAAGGAAACCAAATAGTGGAAGCAACTCATATATTAAATAATGAATTATTTTGCATTTGAAATTGTCCAATTTTTGGGGAAGAGAGGAGCTATTTTGGTATTCTGGCCCTAAAAAAATCAATGTTAATTTCGACAGCTTAGTCTGTGGTCCTGAAAATTATGGATTATTTTTACCTTTATTATTTTGTACTTTTCTGGAACAAAATATTTACATAGGATTCACATAAATCGTGTGTATTTTTTATATATGCAACATAAAAATATATATGACATGTATATTGGATAATTTGAAATACATAATGCTAAATATTGACAAAGGTAGGTCACCGTATAACTTGGGCACTATATCCTTTAACAAATGGGTTTAATTTAAAATTTCTTACTGGTAGTTTTAAAAAATATATTTAAAAATAAATTCTGACAATTTATACTCTGGCAAAAAAAATTTGTATCTAATCTTTAGGGATTTAGGGTTTAAATGACTTAAAAATAACAATACATCTTTTGTGATGAATAATTTAATTTGTGCAAGACTAATTTAAATTTTTATAATTTAGAAGACTGGGTCTTTATTTATTGAATTTTAAACATATATACATACTTGTTAGGCTGTTTAGTCAGTAACTTGTTACAAGGTTTATTTCTGCTTGAAAACCTACATGAATATATTGGAATCGCAGCATATTTAGGGGAAATATAAACTTTAACTCGATGTCACCAGTATGTTCATTCCTATTGTAATCTGACAAGATACGTTTACAATTACTTGTTTTCATAGTATTAAGTATTAAAATACACAAAATGTATACAGTATACGTTTTAACAAATATGTTAAGGTATAGTGATACCTCATATTAAAGTCAATATGACTTAGTGATCATCATCTCCATTTGTTTAAAAGACAGCGAACCTATTTTAATACAGTATTTAATCCTGCTTCATTAGGTTTCATAAATAAATCCTATCAAAAATTTACTCCAGATTATTTTGTAGCAAAATGAGGCATCAGTTTAAAAATTTATATTACAGATTTTTACACATACTCTGTGCTGACAATTTTTAGTTTTGAAATTAATATTACAACAAATTTAAGAACTGTATAATTATCAGTCCTCTTTATTTAGTCAAGTTTAGAGTTTTAACAAGAAAACTAGTTTTTTAAACTGGGAAAACTGTGATATTAGCTCATATGATGACTTTTAAAATTAAAGTCTCTAAGTTTTTTATTTAGAAAAGTTATTTAATAAGTTCACCTATTGATTATAATTTAGATTGCGACCATCTAAAATTGATTCCCACATCACAAAATATAAAACAAATAGTGTTGTAAGAATTTTGATTGAGAAATGTAAATGGTATTCTTTAAGGTTATGTGATTGCATGTTTAATCTTAAATTGACAGTGACTTTAAGATAAAAAAATCTATTTCTCAAGCCTTCTCCTAAGGATTTAATACCAGATTATTAAACCACATTAACTTGGAATGAGTTTAATGTTTAATTTATTGCCTTTTAAATTTGCCTCAGTTCATTCAAAGCTTTCTAATCTGTTGGATGGATCAACATTTTGGTTGATTTTATAGAGTATAACCTTCCATTTTGAGACTTCCAGGATAATCCTCTTCTCCGCTCTGGCTTAGATTTTGTTCTTGGTTTGTTATATTTACCATTTAGGTTGTTTTCTCCACACTCATCATGCCACCACCAGCCTCCTAAAGGAGATAGATACGCAGTTTAGTGGGTACAGACTCGTATGTAGTTACTGTTACTGTATTTCCCCATGAGTTTATCTTCCTTTTTAATAAATATTATAGTGTTTTAGATGCATGTATCCCAGTTTTAAATAATCTGTATAAGTCCCAGTTTTAAATAATCTCTATAAATAATCTGTAAACCACCAAAAATAGAAAATCTGAGGAAGATTAGAGGTAAAATACCTGGTTGAACTAGAATGAACACTTTCATTATAGTTAAGAGGTTTTCATCTAGAAAGAAAACGCTTATTTGGGATTCGGATTTTTAAAAGTTGTCATTGCAGATAATAGCTAATAATGTGGGCAGATACTTTGAAGATATGAAAATAAAGTATTGTTATCAGAAAAAAATACCTGAATAACTCTCTGGACAGCTGAAGTGTCCTTTTGCTTTGTGATCCCAAGTAGAAAACACCAAATCTTTGTTTTCCGGGATTGCATTGGGGACATTGCCAGTAATCTTAACTACATGTAGCGTATAGTTGGTTTCGTGATTTCCCAAGTAAAAAGAATATTCAATATAATGTTTGTTGTCTTTCCAGTCTTCCAACTCAATTCGTAAAACGTAATTAGATTGCTTCACTATGGAGTATATCTTCTCTAGGCCCAACCAGAATTCTCCTGAAAAGAAAAGTTTTAAAAATCTGTGAATTATTAACTACAGGTTGGACACTGTTTTTATAAGTGTTTTTTATTGGTGCAACTAATTGAGTTGTTTAGTCTTGAATCCCTTGATCATTTTAGAGTATCTTAAAATAATACCTTTTAAAACAATTTTATTGAAGATATCTATATGCACAATAAAGTTAAAAATATTAATAGAACTGAAAGTCTGATTATCCTTTCTATAATGCATATTACAAGACATATTTAACCAGTGAAATATGTTACATTATTATAGATACTTTAAATTCTCGTCATTGGTAGAGGAATATTTTCTTGTAAGTCTTTATATGGATAAACTTTACTATCAGGTATTTATTAACATCCATATACAGTCAAGAGATTTTTGTTAAGTATTCCCAGAGACTTGAGTAATAATAAGTCTAAACCTGGCCTTTGGTATTTGCTTAATACATGTTTTCTTTGTAGAAAAAGACAGGAAGAAATTTTAAAAATCATTTTAAATGAAAAAGCATGGTTCTTAATAACTTTTTTCTATAATTTTAAAAATTATTTTTATTTGGAATTAAAAACATAAATAACAAATATAAATAGATTTTTTATCACAATCCTTTTTATTAAAGTATTTAGTAAAATGCTTAATAAATTACTGTTTTCATTAAACAGTCACTGTTGTCTTATTGCTATTGAGTTAGTAGGAAGCTTCATTTTAAGGATTGCTGGTAAATACAAGTACAGATGGGTTAGTTTCCTACCAGAATTAAGTGAGTATTCTCAACTTACCTGTCAACCTTTTATTTTGGGGTTACACTCACTATTAGAAGATTTGGAGCTACAAAACATATCACGGAGTATACCATCTAGGTAGGGCTTTAATGGGTAATTTGAATACAAAATTTTTAAATGGGCAAATAGTACTGAGCATTTAAAAATTTGATGTAATAATGAATGTCTTCTACTTTATAAGTGAGTACTTAGACATCATTCATGGATTTTTGTATGTGCTTTTTGGATTTTAAACATCTGTTATTTTATCTTGCTTATTTAACATTATTTTGTAATCAGAATAATTTGCATTGAGTTAACTAATTCATTATAAGCCACACATTCTATATATTACATTTAAATAATTGAAATTTTTAAATTTATACTGTATGTCTGAGTTTCTTGGTCCTTTTAACTTCCAATTAATTGATATGTAAAACGTTAATGAGAGAATAGAGTGACTAATGCTAGGAGTGGTTCTTTTCACAGCTTATTTGTAACAGTTACTACTTATATAACATTTAATCAGAATTGTCTTTAATAATTATAGTTATGATCATTGTAAGCCATCAAATTAAATTGTGATGAGTATATTTAAGAACAGAAATGTAACTGTGATAAATATAATTCAAATTATAACAGTTGTAATAAATATAATTTACTAACAAATGTGTAATTGTTTGATAATAAATTATATGAAGGCTGAGACTGCTGCTTCTTCATTACTACTTTTCCTAATGCCCAGTCCACAATAGGTTCTCAGTAAATATTTGTAGATTAGCAAATGAATGAATGATTGAATGTAGTCACCTTACCATCAAGCCTCCCGAAACCATATTTGTAGTTCTCCCACGTTTCATTGAAGTTTTGTGATCCATCTATTCGATGTTGAATTAATGTCCATGGACTACCTGAATATAATGAATGAAATCATGTATTTTTAGTAGATTGATACTGACAGATGTAAATAACACTTTTTTGTTTGTTTGCTTGATTTTAGTTGGTGGCTTTGTAAGGTAGTTTATTAATGTTATGGCAATACATTTTATTATTTATTATGGTCCCAAAAAGTTAAGTGAAGGGCAGTTAATGAATTTTGGCATGGTAAACTTATTGATAATAGTCACTTCAGATTATTTTAGAGGAAAAGGAGAATATTGAGTAAATACATAAATAAGCAAGATAAAAGTATTAGATTTATACTAATACTCATGTTACATATATTTCATATATATATATATGTATAAAACAATTATAACCAGGTTAATCTTCCTAATACATACTGAGTAACTTGAACTAACTACTGTCTATTCTCCTTAGACAGGTTTTACCTGATAAAACATCACAGTAGACATGAAAAACTTGAGAGTTGCTGGGTCTGATGGCATACATGCCACTTATATGTTCACCTCTATTGTAAATGGTGGTACAATCAGCAGGAATGCCTAGAATCAATAAAATGTTATTACATCAGATTTAGTAATAGGAATAATATCTTTGGAGCTTGAGATTTCACTTGACATTTTATGAAACTGTGGCAAATGTAGCATTTTTTTCAGTAATGTTTATGGTAAAGCATTTTTCTTAGATGGCATGTTATTTAAGAATATAAGAATCATTCTTACCAAACTATTTTCTTTTAAAAAATTACTTTTTTAGAGACAGAGTCTTGTTCTATCACCCAGCCAGGAGTCCAGTGACCTTTAACTCCTTAAATATTTCAACATGTATCTCTTAAACAGGAGGTTGTTCTCCTTTAAAATTGCAATACCATGATCACGTCTAAGAAAATTAATAAACCTTCTATATTATCTAATAACCAAGTCCATATTTATATTTCTGTGATTGTCTTAGATATATCTTTTATAGGGTATAAAAAGAACCCCAGGATCCAATTTAGGATGATCCATTGTATTTGATGGCTATCTCTTAATCTTTTAGTCTAGAACAAGTCCTAAGAATAGGGAATTTGATAATAGCTTCAAGAAGGAAACCCACCAAAGTGTCTTACCATCATGTTTTACATTTCTTATTTCATTCAGCTGAAGAAAGGGAGTAGTTCTTGGTGCTCTTGGCTTGGAAGATAGAGAAATTTCTGTGGGTTCTTGAATATTAGTCATTCTGAGCTGATAAAAGAATATAAATCTGTTTTTTAAAATGATACTGAATACATAATTAGGGGAGATCTGAGTAAGGATGTCAAAAGTACAGTTTGTCTTTCAGTTCATAATGTTATGGTGTTTGATATTTAGATAAACAGTGTTATTCAGATTGTACAGATTACCTGTTCTCAAAATATTTAATCAGGGACATTATTTAATAAATTAAAAAAATAAAACAAGGCAAAAAAGCAGACATTGGTCAGAAAACAGAACAAGGCCAAAAGTAGAGACTGCTTTGCTTAGAATGTTGTAATGTATTTTTTTTTATATGAATAGAGTATGTTTGATATTCTGTTCAGATTTTAAGTTCAATAATTTTCAGTTTTAGGTCTTACTGATCTTCAGACCTGCTTTAAAGACATAATACATAATTTGAACCTGGCTTTCTTGATAATTTGATAATTTTTGACCTGTAAACATATCTGTAGATGTTGGCAGGTTGGCAAGTTTATTTGCTTACTTTCCATATATTCAGTAGTTTATCATTAGTTTTGCAATAACATTTTATTTAAGTGTGTTGGGTTTGCAATTTATTGAATGATAGTTTTTCTCATTGACAGTAAGAAAAGCAGAATATATAATATCTTGCATTATTAGTGTTAGTTTTTTGATCCTGGCATAAATGACATTTCCTAGGACCTTATTTAAAAGGATCTATTGTAAAGTTTACTTGCTGGATATTACTCTTTTCTACTAAGTAACTATGTGATTTTAACGTTACTCAAATTTTTAGAGTTTTGTTTTTTTAATTTAAATATGAGAAAGTTAAATCAAATGATCTAACTCTTCTTCCAACTCAGAAATTCATTGTTTTGGTTTCTTCACACATTTTTATTTTTAGACAGAATATATATTACTGTAGTAACGTATTGCTTTGGGGATCAGGTTCATTTAATCATAGTAAAAGATATAATTGAAAAGAATTTAGAAAAATAGCATCATAAGAAGGAAAGTATGGAAACCAAAAGTAGTTGGTAAAAATCCTTTTAGCAGCACTACTAAAATTATGTTTGTTTAGTGGAAATTGGTAATAATATTTGTTTTATATCTCTTGAAAATGATTTTGTTTACCAGTTTCTCTGAGTTTATATTATTTTTTCTGAATCCTCTTGAATGACTGTTTAAGAGTATTATTAATATTTTTTAACTATTTACTGTGTATTAGAATACTTAGATTCTGACATAGCTTTATTCTAAACAAGTGCTTCCCCCCTCACTTCACCAGTTGTTTACATTGTAGATTAATTACGTTGTTGAATGTTGACCTTTAATTATGAGGCACACTATTTCTAGTAATCCAAGTAATAATAATTATAGCACACACTCTGTGTGAATATGACATTACATTTATTAATTCAACAGAAATGCCTAGTATGTGCCATACAGTATTCTATATTCTGGAGTATATGCAAATAATGGAAAATATGAAGATAATGGAAAAAAAACCCTGTATTCACAGAGCTTACATTTTAGTGCAGGAATAGAAAAGATAAATAACTAAAATTTATGTTAAATAAAAGTGAGTGTGCAGGAGAAAAGTAGTTAAGGAAGTAGAAGTTTTCAGGGATGGGACCAGGCAGTTGTAATTTTTGGTTAAGTGACCTTGGAAATCTTCATTGAGAATTTTATGTTTGATAACGACCCTAAGGGAGATCAAAGAGTGGGCCATGTAGATACCAGGACAAAAGAGCATTCCAGATAGAGGAAACAACAAGGGCAAAGGCTTCGAGGTGGCAGCATGTTTGATGTGTTTGAATACCGGTAAAGCGATCAAAATGACTAGAGTAGAGGAGGTGAAGTCAGTGAGATGATGAAGGGTCGGGTAATCTTGGTCTAAAGAGCCAATATGAGTGAGATGGAAAGCTATTGTGTGGTTTTGAGCAAGGAGAAACATGATCTAATTTGAATTTTAGTAGGATGACATTGGCTGCTATGAATTAATTATTTTCTTACAATAATCCTATAAGTTCTCTTACTATCTTTGTAGTATATGTGAGGAAACTGAGAGACAAAAAGGTGAAGTAATTTATTCAAGGTCACACAAAGTTTTGGAGCCATGGTTTAAATGCAGGTAGTTTATTAGCTTCAGATCCTGCAATTTTAACAGTTAGGCTGATGTGATAATTTTACTCATGATCCAGTTAAAGCTTGTAAATAATTTTAGGATTCAGTGTTTTTACAAACCTGTGTGAAAGATGGGACATACCATTAAAATATTGACTTACCTGATTTTCTATTTCTTTTATTTGACTATGCTGTTGGTTTAATTGCTTATATTGTTCTTCCACAGTCTGGAGAAGGTCTTTGATGCTATTATCTTGTTTTTCTACAAAACTCTGAATATAGAGATTAGATTGGTTATAAGTTACTTTCTTCTTTCTTTTCTATTAGAGTTTTAATTTCCTGTAACACTGTCATAATCTAAATTTTTAAACTAATAATGGATTTGAAAAATGAATATTGGCAATTCCTTCCCCTTGTATGCTGCTTTCAAATAGCATGTATTTTTGTTCTTAACATTTTATTTAAATTGTGCTATCTCTAAGATTTGTTTCTCTGAACTTCAATTAAGAGAAAAAGCCCAGCATATTTTAATAGGAATAAATCTTTTGCATTTACTGTATTACTTTAATCTGTTTTAAACACTAGAGAATAGTTTTAAATTTTTTAAAATTTTTACTTACCTTCAGTAATTTGCAATAGTGTAATGACATAGTGTTCTAGATTGTGTTACTTAACCAATTTGTAATTTTCATATAAAATGTAAAGTTTCAGTGTTTTCATATATAACATTAGGGAAACAAAAGCTAACAAAATTATAATGGGAAATTTTATTTTCTGGAGATTATTTTTCTTGGAAAAAAAAGTATTCCAACAATGCAACAAAGTATTTCAAGTAGCATGCCTTAGAAATATTTTTTTTTAATGTTCCACATTGAAAACATAAACATGAACCCTCTTTATTTTCTACTTACTTTAAGTGAAGTTACTTCTGGATGTTCTGGAGTTTCAGGTTGATTTTGAATTAAGTTAGTTAGTTGCTCTTCTAAATATTTCACTTTTTGTTGAAGTAGAATTTTTTCTTCTAGGAGGCTTTCAAGTTTTAAGTTGAGTTCAAGTGACATATTCTTTACCTCTTCATTTTTGACTTGTAGTTTATATGTAGTTCTTCTCAGTTCCTTTTCTTCTTCTTTGATTTCCCTGGTTTGCAGTGATAGATCATAAAAAGACTGATCAAATATGTTGAGTTTTTGAAATATGTCATTAATTTGGCCCTTAGTCTTATGGACAAAGTCTTTAAGACCATGTCCCAACTGAAGGAGGCCATTGGCTAAAATTTTTACATCGTCTAACATAGCAAATCTTGATTTTGGCTCTGGAGATACAGAATCAAATGATGAATTGTCTTGGTCAATTCTGGAGGAAATAACTAGAGGAACAATAAAAAGAAGGAGCTTAATTGTGAACATTTTTATCCTGATTTTCAATTTCAAGCAACGTGGAACTGTGTTCTTCTGGAAGCAGACCTAGACTTCTTAACTCTATATATACCAATATTTGCCACAGAAAAGGTAAGGTTGGCAGGTGAATATAGTTAATCATTAAGCCATGTTAACTTGCACGAATGTAACCTTCTTCCACATTGAGTTACATCAATGCTAAATGAAATCAAAGAAATGAGCAACTAACTTAATAGGTAATTTGAAATTGTATTTAACTTTGCTGTATTATAAACTGCACATTCAATGATATGGTGACTACCTGTTTTTAAAAGCTGATTTTACTTTTTTATGATTTTAAGAGATTTACAAGTCAAAAATAAACTTTTTTGTTGAGTAAATTTATTATTAAAGTTAAGGAAAAGAATTAATTAAGTATGCGTTTCTCAAACTGCACTTCGGTTCTTTTGGAAACATTGATCCATCCCAAAAAACGCTTTCTCTCTGAAGCCTTTCTCCATTCCCTCGGGTAGTGGTACAGCTCTCAATGCTGTATTCCTTTGGTACTCTTTATAAATCAACGTATAATTATATACTCCTTATTTTTGTCACTATAATTGTTAATATGGTTTTTTTGCATCACCTTATATGTCTTAATCATCCTTGTATATTATCACAAAATCCCACATATAGTAAGTGTCATTAAAGACATTTCACTCCCCTTTCTCCACTGTGTTCTCTGTCTCTCTGTTCTAGGCTCTTTACCATGTGTTTACTGAAGGAACAATGGATATGTGGTCTTCTAGGATCAAACAGAATTGAATCTTAAATACTTTCAATGTCACAAGCAGCTTACCGATCATAAGTTTTTCTGAAGTTTGTGAGCTTAGTGTAACAATTTAGATAATATACATTTAACAAAAAGAAGACATTAATAACTTTGTTTTTTTAAAGACGATGTCTTAATATATTGCCTATGCTGGTCTGAAACTATTGGGCTCAAGCAATTCTTTTGCCTTGGCCTCCCAAAATTTACGGACATGAGCCCAGTCAATTACAGGCGTGAGCCCAGCCAATTAATAATATTTCTAAAAATAAATGTTCCACTGTGCTTCCAACTTAGTGTTAAAAAGAAAAATACTAATATTAGTGATTATTCTTATTAAGTGTTCATATTAAGAACTTTGTGAGAAAATAGTATCCTTTAAAACTACTTAATCTTGACATATTAATATGGTGAAATTGTTAAGAATATGGGTGCTGGAGTCAGACTGTAGTGGGGTCCAAAGCCAGCTCTCGCTGTCTGACCTTGGACAAGTTACTTAACTTCCCCTTGGATTAGTCTCCTCATCTGTAAAGCTGGGGTAATTATAGTACATAATTCATAGTGTTATGATAATTTAACAATAATACATGTAGAGCACTTAGAACAGTGTTGGGCAAACAGGTAGTGCTCAAAATGCTAGTTATTATGTCACATGAAACTAACTTTTAACCTGTGTATGTGTGTGAGTATATATAATCAACCTTACCTAAAATAAATTTTTCATAAAGTTAATATCTTTTTAACACAGGGAAAAGTTTTATCATAATGAATTTCAGTGTAAATTATAAATTGTTACTACAAAATGAACCATTTCCAAATTTCTTTTCTTTTCTTGTTTTTAGAGACAGGGTCTTGCTCTGTTGTCCAGGCTGGAGTGCAGTGGCATGATCATAGCTCACTATAGCCACGAATTCCTGGGCTTGAGTGAGCCTCCTCCCTCAGCCTCCCCAGTAGCTGAGACTATAGATGCATGCCAACACGCCCAGCTAATTTTTAAATATTTTGTAGAGAGTGGGTCTCACTATGTTGTCCAAGCTGGCCTCGAACTCCTGACTTCAAGTGAACTTCCCACATCAGCCTCTCAAAGTGCTGATATTACAGGAGTAAGCCACTGTGCTCGTCCCTAAATTTCTATTCTTAGAAATGCCTCTTCATTGTATAAAATAGAGGCTCTTCTTTTTGATGACTCAGGATTTTGGGTATAATAGTTATAGTACAGGTAGTATTAAGGGTTTTGGGTGTAATAGTTATAGTACAGTATATGTAATACTATAATACAGGTAGTATTCCATAGTGGTTAAGAGCATGATTCTGGAACAAGACTGCCTGAATCAGAATCCTGGATTTGACATTCATCAGCTTTGTGACCTTTGGTCAAATTACTTCACATTTCTGAACCCCTGTTTTCTCATCTGTCCAGTGAGAATGACACCTATTTTATAGGGTTGTATAAAGATTAAAAGTTTATATTTTCAAAGCACTTAGAACATTACCTGGTGTGTCATAAACACTACATAATATTATATATTAGCCATTTTTGTAATTAGAACTAATCAATGCATTTGTACCCATAGTATAGTATTTTACTGGTGAAAATTAATTGCATATTAACATAATGTAAATTGGGAAATTTTATTATAGTCTAGATTTTTTTAGTTTTGGTCTCTTGTACCTTTTTAATGAATTATGTCTTTTGATTAGGTTGTGTATGATTTTTAAGTGTCCAATATGGAACCACAAAAGGGTAAGAAAATATTCTTCATTTCCATCTTACCCTTTACTCTGGTTGATGTTATGGAATTATAAAAGTGTATGTTGAGCTAGAGAAGGAATTCAAATTTTCTCCTTCTTTAAACAGAAAAGTTACAGTTGTAATTATTTGGCCATGAAATACATATTTCAAAACTTCTCTTAACTAAGGTGTCAGCTTTTATGGCTTACAACTATTGACCCTGATATTTCATCTACTTGCTAGTTGAAGGAGAAGATAGATGGGCCAACTTCTCTCCCCATTATACTATAAGCCGTTTATTGGCAAGATTTGTATGTATTTTTAATTTATATTCCTTATAATGCTTTAGTACAGTAATGCCTTACACATTGTAGAAGCAATGTTTATTGAATGACTAAGAGAATGATAAAATCAACATATAGGGATTTTCCAAGTGCAGAATGTATATGTAGTAGTGGTTACCTCCTTTTGATATACTACATTCTTTTTTTTGTTTTGTTTTGTTTTGTTTTGTTTTTTGAGTCGGAGTTTCGCTCTTATCTCCCATATTAAAGTACAGTGGCCAGATCTCAGCTCACTGCAAGCTCCGCCTCCCGGGTTTACGCCATTCTCCTGCCTCAGCCTCCCAAGTAGCTGGGACTACAGGCGCCCGCCACCTCGCCCGGCTAGTTTTTTGTATTTTTTAGTAGAGACGGGGTTTCACCGTGTTAGCCAGGATGGTTTCAATCTCCTGACCTCGAGATCCGCCCGTCTTGGCCTCCCAAAGTGCTGGGATTACAGGCTTGAGCCACCGCGCCCGGCCTATACTACGTTCTTTTTAGAGCAGGGAATTTCTCTTCTCTGTGGAAGAAGAGTAGCCCCTTTTTTAGTGCATGGAAGTAACTGAGCAGTAGTACCAAGTGCTCAGAGAGACTTTATGAAAGTGTTTCCTTCTACATTTATACTGTACTAGGATACTAACGCTTTTTGCTCAATTTGTGAATTTCTCACAAATAACACTGACAGAGTAGAGGTAATGGTCACTTAGTCTTGGTTTCTAGTACATTGTCTCCTGGTGTAAATATCTGTATAATTCTTTTCTTAGAGTAATATGAACGACATTATTGATTATAATTAAAGTAAGTAATTTGCCTAATTATAAACTGCAGAAGCATTTCAACATGGGAAAATACATTGAAAGTAGTAATTTTATAAAGGATTTTCTGCCTGCCTTTTAATACTTCCTGTCTGAGTACACATTGCTAAAAGCAGAATCTGATCTTTGCTTGAACTTGTGCCTATTTAAATAGGACCCTGATCAAATATAACAAGCAATGTAAAAACTAAAAAATTTTATGCCAAGGAAAATAAGAAACTTGTAAGCAAATGTAGGCCCTGATTTAAGGAATCAGTATAAAAATTTCTTAGCTGTAGAGAATTTTAGGACATTTAAGAGCCTAAATTGTTAAATTCCAATCAGAGCAAAGTCCTTTATCCTACACCAGGTTGTGTAATCTTATGGAGATATGACTTTCAAATAAAATACAAGATATTTTGGCTCTTTTTTACATAGTATTTCTTTAATTTCTTCCTTTTTAACTATGATAATTTGTTTTTGAATTAATGTTGCATAGGAAGATCCTATTGTATGTTTTATACTGATAACATATCTCAATTAGAACCACTGACCTATCAAGTGTTCAGTTGTCTCATTAGACCATCTTTTTGGACAGTGTAGATCCAGAAGTTAAGTGACCTTTGAAGGAATAATTTTATCTATTTTACTGTTTTGTATGTTCACTATTAACACGTTAAGTTTTGTACATATATATTTTTTAATTGAACAGCCATATCTTTGGACGTGTAAAGATTTTTATTTGTTTGTTTGTTTATGAGACGGAATTTTGCTCTTTGTTGCCCAGGCTGGAGTGCAGTGACGTAATCTCGGCTCACTGCAACCTCCCCGTCCTGGGTTCAAGCGATTCTCCTGTCTCAGCCTCCCAAATAGCTGGAATTACAGGTGCCCCCAACCGCACCGGGCTAATTTTTGTATTTTTAGTAGAGACAGGGTTTCAGCATGTTGGCCAGGCTGGTCTCGAACTTCTGACCTCAGGTGATTCACCCGCCTTGGCCTCCCAGAGTGCTGGGATTACAAGCATGAGCCACTGTGCCCGGCTAAGATTTTTAATGCGCAAAGGACTTCTTGTGAAAACTCAGGTATTTCAAAAACCTATAAAAAAGAAAAATCTTGACTCTCTTTACTTTTTGGATCTATCATACCAGACCCTTTGAATGACTAACCATAATTTTTTATAACACAAATGAGATCTTGTTATATATAATAGCTCATGACATATATATTATTCAGGATCTTAGTATTTTAAAATTTATTTTCCTATGAATGTCTATAGAGTTACCACATCCTTTTTAATAGCTGCATACTCCTCTGTTACATACATGAACCTTAATTTAATCAGCCCCCTTTTAATCATTTGTTTCCAATTTTCTAATTATAAACAGTATGTATAGAAAATGCTTTTATGGTGGTGGTGTATGTATATAAATATTTTCAT